ACTCACTCACTCACTCACTCATCTATTGATGATAACCACCTTGTAATTTCACCCATTTGGGGTACTTTTAATTTTCCTTGTTTGTTGTTTACGCTTGTAGACTCCAAAGGCTGTGTAACACAGAAATCAATTATAGTTTGGAACAAATTACATACTGCAATGTTTAGCGACATGACAAACAAAGCATCAAGACATGTTCCAATTTAGAAAGAACGAACCATACGACTTGTGATATTTGTTGTATCTGTGATTATATCCATGCATGGTTTTATTAAATTTAAACTTTTACAGGTCGTATCGACATGCGACGGTACGCGGTAACCTGTGCGGCGGTCCTTTTGATCTGCTTTCAACTTGCGTCAGGTGAGACAATACGGGTTAAAAGAAAAAAAAGAGGAACAATCACTTTCACAAATTATTCCTAAGACCACTAAACGTGCTTAGTTCTTTTCCTTTAATATCACCAGTCAAAACTTTCATGTTAGCGTGTGCATGTTAGCCAAAAACAGTGCATTCCATTTACACCCGCTTCACGTGTAGAGTGCTGGTGTAGAGGCGGACGTGGCCGGAATAAAGGCCGTTGTAACCTCGTCAACATGCCAGCCTGACAAGAAGTTAGTCAATTAATTAGAAGTTTACCTTCACGGAAAAAGTCATCGTTCAGATGTACCTGTTTGTTTGAATGCACGTAACTACATCGTAGGTTTTCCTCACGATAGGCGTGAATGTGTTACGATCGGCGTCTACGTTTAGTCGTACACGTGTAGCAATCATTTGAGGCGTGAAAGGACATCTGCAGGGGACAGTCAGCTGTTTATAGTTATTATCATATAGTATCCGCAGCTGTTATTATATGGTTGGGGAATGTAGCACTATTGCCTGTCGTAAGAAGATCGGGCGTTCAGGCTCGCTGGCTTGGTTGACACATGTCTTCGTATTCCAATTGCTTAGATCGATACTCATGCTGTTAATCACTGGATTGTCTGGCCCAGACTCGAAAATTTATAGACCGCCGCCATATAGCTGGAATATTGCTGAGTGCGGCTTTAAAAAAACACAGAAAGAAAGACACTAGGTTCTTGAGAAAAAACAAAAACAAAACAATCTTGGTATGCTGGTATTGCTACCTGAAGATCACAACTGGAGTAACTGTTGGAAAAATAAAATTCCATCATGCAGGGAAGCCAACGCCTTTTATCTGTCATTATGTAAACTGGTGCATTCTTTATCTTTAGACGTAATGTTTCGTCTTTTTTGCAAGTACACGATTTTTTATTCGGGGTTGATGATAACAGGTTAGCATTGCTAATGGTGCTGATGTTTGTGTTGCAGGTCAGGTCAGAAATCAGGCACCGAGATTCACTGGTCAGCTGGCGCTTCGAGTGGTCAAAACAGCACCTGTTGGTAAATATATGTCAATGGTGACAGACAGTACAGTATCCAAGTACTAGCTGTATTACAACAGCTAATGAATGATCGATCCTTGACAGCTGACCCACGTGTTGATAGCACGTAGGAAGCCTTGCCTCTGGAGAGTGTTGTCACATATATACATATCTTGTGCCATACCTTGACCCCCATTCGCACTCTTTGTCAACGTTGTCGCCTGACATGGGTTAATAGGTACTTCTTCTTCACGGGAGTCTCAAATATGCTAATTATAAAACGTTATGATTCACTGTATGTCACTCTATTTTATTAACTTCATGTACAAACAGATCACCTGTCTCTATTAATGACAAGTTAGTTATTAAGAACAAATTAATTAGTAAGTAGACTATTAAGTCATTTGCAAATATCATTAAATCTATGTTCGCTGGTTCTGTACTTCGTTCATGTAATATCTCCATTATTATAATCATAATCATATGTATAACTTCGTCCATAAGTCCAATATTAAGTTTCAAGTGCTCCATTCCGTATATACCCGTGAAGATCCGGACTAGAATTGATCTTCAGTAACCCATGCTTGCCGTAAGAGGCGACTAACGGGATTGGGTGGTCAGGCTCGCTGACTTGGTTAACATATGTCATTGTATCCCAGCTGTGTACATCGATGCTCATGATTTTGATCACTGGATTGTCTGGTCCAGACTCGATTATTTACAGACCGGCACCATATAGCTGGAATATTGTTGTGTGCGGCGTTAAACAACCAACCATTCCGTATACTATGTAAGGTAGAGTTACTGTAGCATTCATTGTGAAAGAATGTGAAGCGTTCCCCAGGATTGGTAAATTATGGGAATTCCGGTTCAGCTGCTGCTAAAACCGGTCTAAAATCGTCTTCACGCACTCACCATACGATGCTTATCGTGAAGTAGCACCTCTGAATCGCACATCGCAGAATGTGTATCGTTTGGTTGTAAATTGCAGCTTTCCCGTTTCATTATATATACTTCGTTTCAAAAGTTTAGACTCTCTTAAAACACTCACTATGTGTTATGTATATATATATATATATATGGTTACATCGAAGATTGATTTCTCCATTACCTCTGGGGAACCAACTGCAAACCTTATGCAGATGTATTGCACGGGGATCATGCATCAAATTGCTGAAAAGCATGTGCAAATATCGTGCATGTGAACAGCGGCGTTCTGGTGTAAAGTTTTGTTAAGAATTCGCCAATTTTCACTGATTTTCATCATTTATTGAACTCATGACTTGTAACGTTACGAATTTGTTTTCATTGTTCGCTGTTACAATACATCAGTCCATGTGTAAACAGTTCCTTTAAACAGTATGGAATATTTGGCAAATTTAGTTTAGAAAAGTTGCCTGAAGTAAGTGCCTATAATTACACTAGTGAGTCTAAACTTTTGAAACGAATATATATGTGTATATCAGTTACATACCTGCATAGCCGTATTGAACAGTTCCAATACTATATCCCACATACCTATGTAAATGCTGTGTGTACATATGCATCATCATCTTGTCATCAACCGTCTATGCCTGTGAGTTAAGTAACTACTTACTTTTATCGAAGAATGTCGACAATGCCAATGCATATTCACAAGCTATGTAAATGCTGTATCATGCACTGTGTGAAGGTTAGCACAAGACCCAAACAATCAGGACATACGTCCCGGGTTAGACACCCACACTTAAACAAACTTACATAGCCTAGATGATTGAATGACCTATACAGAGCGAGGGTTCTCCTGTTTGCTTTCCAGCTCTCGAGACAACATCAGATTGTCCTGGTCAAATATAGTACAGAGTGATAGTATGTACGGATGTGGCTGTATTGTTAAACAGTGTGTCATCTTACGAGTGTTTATTTATGAAGACGTACATATGCCATTTATGTTTCACGTTTAGTTCGTCTTGTGTAAAGATCTTTGAGCCACCCTCAAACATATTATGGGAAAGCAAACTTCGTTCAAATGTGATATGAGTTGTAAATGCACTTGGTTTTATCATCACTGCAGACTTATTGTAAACGGTAGCGAGCATGTGGGGAACATCAGCTGTTCAGAGTATTACAGCAACATTACTTACATGGACAGAACCAGTGTGCAAAATAGCCACTGACCCGCTAGCCCGTGGCTAGTAAAATTCCAGTCTGGCCAGTAAGTCTTCACAGTCACTGGCCTGACTGGGTAGTGAATTTTCATGGGGTCATTTTGCCAATATATCACTGTCTCCGACTTGTTAAGTTATGATACACAGTCACTTTTAATTCATGCAAGATTATGGCCTAGCTTCCCGATTGGGTAGCAAATTTGAAAACTATTTCGCACATTGGACAGTACTGACAAATCTGGTTTAGAACTTCAGTGACCCATGTTTGTTATGTGAGCGACTTATGGGGACTGGAGGTCAGGTTCTCTGACTAGGTTGGCCCATGCCATTGTACAGCAGGTAGATGTTCACCATCTCAATGACTGGGTTTTGCCTGGTGAAGACTCGATTGTTTCGTCGTCATATAGATGGAATATTGCGGCCTTAACAATAAAACAATAACTGCTGACGAATGTACAGTGGATCAATAAGAGACATATTTGTCTTAAGTGAGTGAGTGAGTTTAGTTTTACGACGCACTCAGCCATATTCCAGCTATATGACCACGGTCTATAAATAATCGAGTCTGGACCAGACAATCCAGTGATCAATAGCATGAGCATCGATCTACGCTATTGGGATACGATGACATGTGTCAACCAAGTCAGCGAGCCTGACCACCCGATCCCGTTAGTCGCCTTTTACGACGAGCATGGGTTACTGAAGATCAATTCTAACCCGGATCTTCACGGGGATTTGTCTTGAGAGTTCCTTCAGAGCTAGACTACTGCATCTGTATATGTATAAGATGTAATGTGCAAAAGATCAGCAATTGGTGTCGAAGACTGCATTAACATGTCTGCCGTATCACATCTCCAGGTACAACTATCCTTACAACGTTGAACGCCGTGGACACCGATGGCCCATCTCCTGTCAACATCTACATCTCCGACTTCGCCACCAGACAGCTGGTGCAGCTAAAAAATGTACCCGGCGTGACGTCGTCCAGAAGGGTTGTGCTTGCTTCCAGCCTGGCGGCGGAGGTACAACGAGTATTCCTCTATCCAGCACACAATCTCCACGCACCCAAAAATATATATTAAAAATGCTTAATGTAGAAACGGATGCCTTGAAACAAAATAAAGTAATTGTTAACAATATAGAAAATAAATATGCTTAGAAGGATGGTAATTGACATTATTTATGATAATCATAGCTATCAAACCAACTGTTTAATCTATCCATGTTACGAAACTGCGGGGAAATGAATACATACACCCATGTTGGTGGGAACGTTAAATGAAAACAACAAAAAATGGTTACTTAATGGTGATGTTGGGTAGCCTCTCGTTTAAAGCGTTTGCTCGTCACGCTTACGATCTGAGTTCTGTTCCCCACATGGGTGCAATAGGTGACGCCCATTTCTTCTGTCCCCCGGGATGATATTGCTGGAATATTGCGTAAACCCCGACACACTCACTCACTCGGAATGAGGGGTGATGTATATGATATAGTTGTGGTTTTAACTTTCATGTGGCAGTTTCAGCGACTGTAACGATTTGATAACGTTTTTCAGTTTTCGTTAAATCCAATTTTGGAGACATTGTATGAAGATAGTGTAAACAGGCATGCTACCTTAACTGTTAATTTTTCAATAAAAGTCTATCCAATCAAGTTTGAATTTTATGCACCGCTTGACTTTAAGATATGTGTATAACGTTTAAAAAGTGTATGTGTTCCCTCATTCTTCAACGTGAAACATTCAGTTTCAACCATATACATTGCTAAAAGAATCGTATTCTCCTTCGTGTTATTGTCAACACATTTATCAGAGCTATTTCTACTTTCAGCCACCTTCGACAAAATCGCTGTACATCGTGGCATCAGATGGAAGTGCAAGGGTCAGTATTCATCTTGTTACACAGTTTCAGACTTTTGGTCGCTCCCTTAATGGTTCTCATATAATGTTAAATAATACACGGGACAATGCTACATCTTAGCAGTAGCCCCGGCACTACATTGGTATATTCCCCAAAGGGTCACTAGGTTGTATAGGTAGAAGTATCTTGCAATCTGTTACCTTGTCGAAAATAGGTTACTTACTAATGTGTCATATTGATCCATTTATTTATTTATTTATTTATTTATTTATTTATTTATTTAGTTATTTAGTTATTTATTTATCTGTTGTTCATTTCAAAGGGGATTAAACCCACTTCACTCACTCATTAATACTGAGTTGGTGATATACTGCTGTATATTAATCCTGAGCTTATATCCCTTGCATCTGTCCACAGACCACGGCTACGATCACCCTGCAGGTGATCAACCCTGTGTCTCCAATACTCACTGGACTCAACACTACCGGGCTCATTTCCAGTAGGTTGCCTCACTTACACTGTCAACCTTACAATGTCAGGCGAACTCGGACAATTAGTGTCGCAGTTTAAATTCCCATCTTCGAAATGTAAATGTTTTCCTTGGTAACAATAGACATGCTGTTTATAATGATGCAGAGGTATGGATATTCTAGTTGTTTAAGATGCTACAATTCTCAATGTATAGTTGCATCCCTTTGCCGTGCCAGGATGTGCTGGTCATCGTTTGAATATCACTCACTGATGTACACACATTGTGATCCTTGTATCCATACCTACGTGTTGGATAGAAAGCGTATGGACATACTGTCCATTTCTCTCTTTCCTCGTCAGTGGAGGTCATACCTAAAACGTATGAGGGTATTGGATGTTACATTTGTATACAACTGTAGACATATATATATTTATTGTTATATTATATATATTCTACAATATCATATACATTATAACGGTATTTCTAACGGTAATTATCCAATGCATTGTACTGACGCTGTTTGTATTCAGATCCACCTGATGTCCAGACTGTCGCATCCAACCTTCAGCTGTTGACAGATACTATTTGTGATGTAAGTATTGGTGTACACCAAGATTAGAACTCTGAAACCATGCAACAGTTGGTAATATATCGATCCCATAGAGCCCTTATCTACTCAATTGAATGGCCTAGTGATAAAGCACACGGATATTCTCCAACATGTTTCACTTTTATCTTCAGGGAGATTTATATTTATACAAAATAATCCTTTTAGGTATTAATTGTTTGCCATGTTTTCATATGGATGATTATGTTCACAGCTTTACACAAATCAAAGTCCGGCATCCGGATCAATTTCTCGGTTGCGTCTGTTCTGTCTCCTCTTCAAAGCAGGTGAGTCATGATATTATTGTATCTGTTGATGTGTGCTGACTCTTAGCAGGAATACACGATTGTATACATAGGTGTAATACTGATTCTGTATACTGGTGTAATACACGATTGTATACATAGGTGTAATACCGATTCTATATACTGGTGTAATACACGATTGTATACATAGGTGTAATACACGATTCTATATACTGGTGTAATACACGATTGTATACATGGGTGTAATAATGATTCTATATACTGGTGTCATACACGATTGTATACATAGGTGTAATAACGATTCTATATACTGGTGTACTACACGATTGTATACATAGGTGTAATAATGATTCTATATACTGGTGTCATACACGATTGTATACATAGGTGTAATAACGATTCTATATACTGGTGTACTACACGATTGTATTCATAGGTGTAATAATGATTCTATATCGGTGTGACACACGATTGTGTACATAGGTGTAATAACGATTCTATATACTGGTGTAATACACGATTGTATACATAGGTGTAATAATGATTCTATATATCGGTGTGATACACGATTGTATACATAGGTGTAATAACGATTCTATATACTGGTGTACTACACGATTGTATACATAGGTGTAATAACGATTCTATATATCGGTGTGATACACGATTGTATACATAGGTGTAATAACGATTCTATATATCGGTGTGATACACGATTGTATACATAGGTGTAATAACGATTCTATATATCGGTGTGATACACGATTGTATACATAGGTGTAATAATGATTCTATATATCGGTGTGATACACGATTGTATACATAGGTGTAATTCACGATTCTATATACTGGTGTAATACACGATTGTATACATAGGTGTAATAACGATTCTATATACTGGTGTAATACACGATTGTATACATAGGTGTAATAACGATTCTATATACTGGTGTTATACACGATTGTATACATAGGTGTAATAATGATTCTATATATCGGTGTGATACACGATTGTTTACATAGGTGTAATAACGATTCTATATACTGGTGTACTACACGATTGTATACATAGGTGTAATAACGATTCTATATATCGGTGTAATACACGATTGTATACATAGGTGTAATAACGATTCTATATACTGGTGTAATACACGATTGTATACATAGGTGTAATAACGATTCTATATATCGGTGTAATACACGATTGTATACATAGGTGTAATAACGATTCTATATATCGGTGTAATACACGAGTGTATACATAGATGTAATAACGATTCTATATATCGGTGTAATACATGATTCTTTATATCGGCGTAAGAAGCAATATATGAAAGTATATATTAGTACATCTATATTTTTTCCTTTTGTTCCCAGTGTACAGTCAGCTCCCACCTAGCATCTTTAATTCCAGTGAAACGATACGTACTACGCCAGGTAAAGTCGTCATATTTATTATCCACTCCTCATATGCCTGTTTTACTTTCTGCAGTTATCTACTCATGCCAGTAATGATTGTCACCCCAGCCTATTAATAAAATGGAAGGGGGTGACAACCATTATTGGCATGACTATATATGATTATCGATGCCATTTTGATTGAATTTCCTTTTCATTTGTCTAGTTGTCGTAATTGTCCGTATATCCTCATTAGAACTGCCTTTTCCTCTTCGTGCTTTGCTCCTCAAGTACTGTCGCTGCGTCTTCTTTCCTCTAATACTGTCACTGCATCTTACCTCTCTTATTATTTCGTATCACTTCTCCTTAATGTTCTTTTTTTACCTTTCATCTCCCCTTTCTCATCTACTGAATTTCTTCCCCTCCCTTATTCAAATGCTATTTTAACGTAATGCAGAAAAATGTCATTACAAGATTTAACGTAATACCGTAAGCAATCTATTATTTAGTATTAACAAACTTTATAGGTAGCAACTTCTGTTATTACGTTTCGATACAGATTTTTGTACCGTTGTCAAACAGCGATATATGTTGTAATTTTTAAGGCTGGCTATCGACATATATCATAGAGATCGATAATCGTTAACTATATATCGATTGATTATCGATAAATATCGGAGACGTAACTTTGAAGAAAACTGCCAAAAATGTCTGAAATATATAATATATATATTTCCCATGACTGGTGAGTGGTGACATGTTTTACATAGATTACTAACACATCAGCATCCTGAACATAATTTAGAAGCAGACCATGAATAAATTCCTAAATTTGTATGTTGTGTAAAAAATGTAAAACCTTTTTTCTCTCACAACAGTTAATGTATGATGTTATCGATGACACAATTTTCTTATCGATAATCATTAATAATCATTCCTACCAACGATATTTCCGAAAATCGATCATTTTAGCCAGCCCTACTATATATACATTCTGATAAACTGATCTGTGAAATATATATATTTCGTTCAGTGCCAGGTATCAACAAGCCCCCAGTGTTCACCGGCCCAACTTCCTTCACAGTGAGCGGGAACCTGCCAGCCGGTAAGTACTTTAGGCTGTACACGTGGTAAATGCAAACACAAATATTTTAACAGGATTGAGTGGATTAAATGACATTATCTGTGACGTGTGAAATCTACTAACTGTATAAACTGCCTGGCGTAAGAACGTTTACAGCCGAAAATTGGATTAGACAAAATAACTACAATCATTATTTAAAAAAAGACATTTCTAGTCTGAAAAAAACTATTAAAACACTGCAAGCTTCAAGTCAAAACAGAACTATTTAACTATGATGAAATCACCACTGAATGATGATTTCTGGTATGTTTCATTTGTAGCCACATCGAACATACAGTGATAGTGATATCACCAAGGTGATAGTAGGAGAGGGGGGTGTGGGGACTGCTCTGGAATGGAAGGTACTGCTTTATGCATTAAGAAACCGGAGAAGATCCGGGTTAGAATTGGACTTCAGCAACCCGTGCCTCTCATAAGAGGTGCCAAACGGTATCGGCAGGTCAGGCTCGCTAACTTGCTTGATGCACATTGTTGTATCCCAAATGGTTAGATCGATGTTCATAATGTCAATCACTGGATTATATTAACCAAGCCCGGTTATTTAATCACTGACAGCCGCCATATAGCAGCACAGTTGTTAAGTGTTGTTATTAACAACTGACTGACACAACATTTGTCCAACAGTTTCTGACTGTATCAACAGCGTATGTGGTGGTGTGGTGGTGGAATTGGGTTTAACGTCGTGCTTGAGAATATTTCGCTCATATGACGACGTGCATGCGTGTGTATGTGTATGTGCGGCTGCTTGTACTAGCCCAGACTTAAGCTGGTTTTATAGTGCTAGCCCACTGAGATGCCATGCCGCAGTGAAGCATGAATACCCCACTCAGACACATTATACTGACTCCGAGCCGACCAGTCCTTGTTGAACCCATTAATGCCGAGCGCCAGGCAGGGACCAACAAGTACCATATTTTAACGTCTTTTGGTATGACGCGGTCGGGGATCGAACCCGCGACCTTCCGCACTCCGGGCGGACGCTCTAACCACTACACCACGGAGGCGGTCAGCGTATGTAGTAATCAGGAAGGCTCTAAAATGCAATGCCCAGTTTACACGATCATATAACTCTTATATGAAGACATGTATATGAGTAACGTCCGTACCTCTTTGGAACCTTGTGTACGCCCTTCTGTAGAACTGTACATGCCCTTTGTACAGGCATAACAGCAAGAGGCATAAACCAGTTTGGTATTGTATAATAGACAATAAGTATATTTCTTTTAATTTTGAGAACGTCTAAGCATGAAACAATTCCTTTCAATCAGGTTCTCAAATTGGACGGCTCACAGCTGTTGATGATGATGGGCCCAGAGCAATCGCTTTTAATATAAGGGACCTTCAAAATACAGGACGCTTCGACCTGAGATTTGCATCAGGTCAAAGTTCATCTGGTCGTGTTGTAGGCCTCTACCTTCGCCAATCACTTGACAGTGAAACGGTAAGTAACGAAATAAGGCTTTGAAAGCGATTTTGTTGCATCTACAGAAAATTCGTCGTCTTCACGTTGTCAAAAATTTAACCTACATAAACGATTTCGTCATGATGTCACGTATATGTCTTGATGATTGGTCGGGGAAAAGAGGAAGTTATATAGCATTAACTAGTTTTAATGTTGAGTTGATCTAACATACGTCACATTGTAACAAAAGCCCACACGTTATCACTGCATGTAGCTATTCAGTTTACATGAGATTTGCCTCAATTGACACAACAATCACATGCGGCATTGACGAGTGTTTTGACATTTTATTACAAGATATAGTCCCTGGTTACTCCTCTCATAGTATAGGTAACAGTTATTTCATTATTCCATGTAACAGTCACACTGTTTCTTTTGTTTTTCACAGACCTCACGTGAAGTCCTGTTTGTAACTGCGGATGATGGTCTGGCAACGGTATGATGGATAACAGATTTGGCACCATAATTGTTGTTCTAGAACAAATACAATGTAATAGCACTGACTTGAATGGTGTGGCATGGTGAAGCTTGAATATTCATTGAAACAATATATTCAGGCAGCTTGTATGAGTAAATGTTTGTTTGTTCTGTATCAAGACATACATGAATGTGTATGGATGTACATTGAATCGTACTGTTGTGATATACTTCGTATATTCAATATAAATTTCTACTTTTGTCATTTTCTACAAGAAATGTGAATACATTGTACATATGGGTTGGACTTTTCGTGAAACTGTATAACGCTTCTAATTGCCACAGGGGTGGTGGGGTAGCCTAGTGGTTAAAGCGTTCGCTCGTCACGCCGAAGAACCAGGTTCGATTCTCCACATGGGTACAATGTGTGAGGCCCATTTCTGATGTCCCCCGCCGTGATATTGCTGGAATATTGCTAAAAGCGGCGTAAAACTAAACTCACTCACTATAATTGCCACATATTATTAGTAATTTCTTGAAGATAGTTATTGTTTCTCTTTTTTTTAGTCATAAGAAATGATGTGTATAATGTCTTTCATAGTCGTCGAAGCAGCCTAACATGTTTACTGTTGTTTTTCCTCCATTACCTAGTTAGAAATTATTATTAACATTCTTATTATCTTTCAGTCAACAGCGACGGTCATCGTGAACGTTCTGAGTTTAAACAACAGCCCACCAACGTTCATCCAAAGGAACTGGACATTCATTGTTCGCAACGTGAGTTCCAGATTTTCTGAAGTCTATTGTTTTGACAAAATCTTCAAATACAGTTGATATGAATCGTCCTGAAAATAACCAGGACACAATAACCACAGGGACGGACTCCATGTGACGTAAAAAGCAAAATAGTGGTGGAAAATATGTGACATAATCAACAGCTGTTCTCCTGAAACAATCCGGATCCTATGGTTTTGTCAGGACTCTTACGGTGTTTGTGCAACGACCGCTATATGTTTTAAGGGTTTAAACTGTATTACGTATAACACAAAGTAGCGCCTTCTCACAATGTTTTATCAAGTTGTTTGTTGTACGTAAGCATGACTATATTGTGTTTCAGTCCTCAATTCCTGGTCTCAAGATTGGTTCTGTTTTGGCACTCGACAGGGATTCGGGCAATAACGGTCGTCTTTCATATTCATTCCGGGTAGGTATTACCATTTCAGTAAACAGCATTACAGTAATAAACTGTCCCTCCCCCCACGCTCATGCCGAAGCATATACCTCACAACAAACTACACTACATGTACATTAGTGGGGAGGGGGCGGGCAATTCCTCTTTATTTGACCTCTATTACTCTTACATTATGTGTACATTTTGGATGCAGAAAACCTTATATTATGATCATTCTTGACAGTGCTAGTCAGGGATTGTTATAAATATTACGACATCCTGCCTTTCCCCCCTTTTACATTCTTTTTTTTCCCTACCTGTTCACAAAACGGTTACTTCAAAGTGTATTGCTTTAGTAGCCTCCCTTTAAGATAAATGTTCCTTTAGAATCATGTTCAGTTGAACAGAATTTTTATCCACAAACTACGGATTCGTACAAATAATCAATATATTAGTTATATATAGAATATGGTTTAAGTTTAAAAAAATGAAATCCTGAGGTTTGTTTTCATCGCCAGTGTTTGTATAAATGTTTGTTTCTCCACAGGCTGTCAATTCATCCATGGAGACTTTCTTCAGTTTGAATAACTTTGATGGTTCTCTGTACTTGAAGACACCTCTACAGGGAAACCTAAATGTGACTCTCATTGTCACAGCAGTGGTAGGCAACTCATGTTCATAATTGCCATAAATTTCAGTCTGGAAATTATACATATTTCAAAAACGAATTGAAACTGTTGTACAACATTAATTCATACATGATAGCATATTATTCCTTTGGTGCCTAATGTCGAACATTTTCAGACCGTCTCATGTACATATTGACAATAATATGTGCTTCATAAATTATTATTACCATTATCAGCTGACAACAATGCCCTGACATATTTGTTGTTTGTTTGAAGGATGGGGGAGGACTGAAAGCAACAGCCAACGTCACAGTGGTTGTTCGTGCATCTAACGGTAAAAGTTTGTTTCTAAGTATACACTATGTCATTTTGTTTATAAGAATTGAAAAAAATCTCAGATTCATGTGTTTGCATGAACCAGTTTGTGAATTTTCCTGGAATGGGTTGAAGGGCACGCATTCCACTGATTTCACGCGCTATGAACACTATGAATCATATAATAATTCAATGTAATATAATAATTCACCTGTATGTATTCTGGCATGTACCTATGTCTCTATTCAGGGAACACTAGAACTGTTGCAATTGGAATTGAAAAATAGTAGCTAATTATGTTATACCAGTTTTGCTGTATATTAGGACATATAGACTGACCCATTACCAATACAGCAAATGATGGCAGGTACTGACGATCTGACAAAGGAGTAATAACCTGCCACATACTCCCCAGTGGCACACACGTAAATTCAGGTCTTAGAGGGAAAACACTAGGGGTGTCACGATACACCAATCTCACGATACGATACGTATCACGATTTTAAGGTCACGATACGATACGTATCGCGATACATAATTATCGCGCCTTTTCATAGCATTACCTTACCGGCAACGTACGCGCTCGCTCATTGGTCCATCAAAATAGTCTAGCCAATCACAAAAGCTGTTAGTTTCCAACTTATTTTTTAAGTAAAGCTAGCTACATCTATTTATCGGAGCCATCTGGTATAATTTTACTATCAAGATTTTGACAGAGATGGATATAGCATAAAAATTTGAATCGATAAAGTTTTAAAATAGGAATCGATACACGCAAGCATGTATCGCGTATCGTATCGTCAGTAAAAAATGTATCGATGTATCGATACATTCGCGTATCGCAACACCCCTAGAAAATACCATTCTGACACGTGTGTGTCGAGCTGTCGTTAATTCCTGCATTCCTTTTACGCGTTAAACCTATTCTGAGCCACGACCAACATTGAGGATTACACTGCGACACGGTGCCATTAGTATTCTCAACAGTATTTCTCTGAAGAATGAAAAAACAGGATTGTGCGGTGCATAAACCTAATGAAAAAACCCACAGCCTTTATCAGAAGAAACTCTGCCTAAGTAAACCTAGGCGTCCTGTTTCGCAGTAATTTCCCTGGCAAAATCAACGAGGGTGCGTAATTTGTGTAAATAGTCATTCTGGCAGGTTGTTTGAATATGGTTCTTTAAACAAGTGACTATGTGTTGATTAAGATTCCAAAGAAACCTTTGTTTAAATGTTTCAAATGCTTTGGGAAACAGCTATTTGTCGACGGCTTATGAAGCTGAATGAAATAATCTTCGTGTGAACATACCCGTTGCTTGATGTAGCATGTGTTCTGAGTAATGGTGTACAGTTGTGCAACATGCCCAGTGTCATCATACACAGTGTCCTGCGTGACTGTGTGACAAAAATAGCCTTGTTTTGTACCTTCAGCATTATCACAACAATATCAATGCGGGGGACGCCAACGAAAGGGCGTCACTCATATAACCCATGTGGGGAACTGAACCCGGGACTCGTGGGATACGTCGCGCCTAATGTTTTCTAATTAGTAAACTCTAATGTCTACCATAACAATTGAAATGACTGTTTCTTTCAACACGTATTTTGAAACTAAATAGGACTCTAGATTTAAAACAAACACATTCAAAGCTACAATACAAGAAAAGGACAGTAGGCAGAGTGTAGTTGCACCCGTACCACAGGTTTTAAGTATTCGATTGAGTCAGTGAGGGACTTCGGTTTTACGAGTGAGAGTGTTTTGCGCCACTTTTAACAATATTCCAGCAATATCACGGCGGGGGACACCATAAATGGGCTTCACACAATGTACCAATGTGGGGAATCGAACCCGGGTCTTCGGCGCGACATGCGAACGCAATAACCACTGGGCTACACCACTGCCCCTCGGTTTTACGAAGCGTTTAGCATATTTCCAGTAATATCACGGCGGATCAAGCATGTTATACGCCAAAGACAACACAACCACAATGATAAACAACCGTTGTCTCAATGGTGCACCTTGTGTCAGTCAAATAAATCCAAGCTTCAAAATCCTTTTCACTGTATGCGACTATTCGAGTGCATGAGGGCGTGTATCACTATCAAAATGTTACCTTGGATACATAGGCTTCAACTGTACCACAATCAAGTATCACTGATACATATAGATACGGTATCAGTTTAAACAGTATAGGTTTTCTAATACTTTGAAGAAGAAGAGAAACATAATTTGAACCTCCTTCTTTCTAAATAAGTTCGACAAAGCAAAGCTTTCTATCGCCCGTCAGTAACAATTATTTACAAAAAATATTATTGCCTTTACCGCGGGTTGAAAACAAATAGTCCATATTATGAAAACATACGAAATATGTCGTTTTCAGTTTTAGGCACCAATATTGAATAGAAACCTCTCTGGAAATTAGTATTATACTAATAGTGTTTATATCAATTATATTGAAGTTGATATTTAAGATGAGACCATACCAGTTAAGTTGTCCCAAACATATATTTATCTTGTCTATCAATGCTGCTCGTACGTCCAACCTAACAATTCGAAAATAAAACATTCCTTATTTCGAAAACATACACTGTATTGCCATTTCACTGAAATGTCGTTTTCAGCTTTAGTCACCAAGACTGTTTTTCTCTATAAAACTATACCGAGGACGTTTCTATTTCAGGGAACACAAACAATACATGTGGAAACAGCACCTGCCTGAATGGTGGACGTTGTGTCAGAGTAGGCAACAGAAATTACACGTGCGTGTGCAGTTCAGGGTTCACGGGAGTCAACTGTACATACAGTAAGTTCACATTTGTTTCATCTTAATGGCAGAGTGTGTACTTTGAAATGAGTTCTGTAATGTTCGAACGTTTCCTAAATCCTACAAGCTAGATATAAATTGTATATTAAAATCCTTGTCATTTTAATTTCGTCATTGCAGGAAACTCCACTTTTGGATGTTTGAGCAATCCTTGCCTGAATGGCGGATCCTGTTTGAGGGGCGTCAACAACTCCTACAGATGCTTCTGTCGCTCTGGATACACAGGCTTCAACTGTGCCACGAGTAAGTATCACTGATACATACATGGTGTCAATTTAAAGTGTAAATACGTTTTCTAATAATTGGCCATTAGAGGACAAATGAACAATAAGGTGACGCTCTTTCTTCCTGAATGAGTGAGTGAGTGAGCTGGGTTTTACGCCGCTTTTAGCAATATTCCAACAATATCACGAAATGAATATTTTCTGTTGCATATTCCCGAACTTGTATTATATTTTGTTTCTCAATCCTACTTGTACTTCCTACTTAACATTTTATTCACGAATGCATTAGCCAAGAAAGACTGTTATTTCTCCATATGTAACTACATCGAGGACGTTTCTATTTCAGGGAACACAAGCAATCCGTGTGGAAACAGCACCTGCCTGAATGGTGGACGTTGTGTCAGAGTAGGCAGCAGAAATTACACGTGCGTGTGCAGTTCAGGGTTCACAGGAGTCAACTGTACATACAGTAAGTTCATCTTTGCTTCATCTTCATGGCGGAGTGTTTTCCTTGAAATGAGCACTCTAATGTTGAGCTTTTCCTAATTCCTAGAAAGTTCATGAACGTTTATATTAGAATCTTTGTAAACTTAATTTCGTCATTGCAGGAAACTCCACTTTTGGATGTTTGAGCAATCCTTGCCTGAATGGCGGATCCTGTTTGAGGGGCGTCAACAACTCCTACAGATGCTTCTGTCGCTCTGGATACACAGGCTTCAACTGTGCCACGAGTAAGTATCACTGATACATACATGGTGTCAATTTAAAGTGTAAATACGTTTTCTAATAATTGGCCATTAGAGGACAAATGAACAATAAGGTGACGCTCTTTCTTCCTGAATGAGTGAGTGAGTGAGCTGGGTTTTACGCCGCTTTTAGCAATATTCCAACAATATCACGAATTGAATATTGTCTGTTGCATATTCCCGAACTTGTATTATATTTTGTATCTCAATCCTACTTGTACTTCCTACTTAACATTTTATTCACGAATGCATTAGCCAAGAAAGACTGTTATTTCTCCATATGTAACTACATCGAGGACGTTTCTATTTCAGGGAACACAAGCAATCCGTGTGGAAACAGCACCTGCCTGAATGGTGGACGTTGTGTCAGAGTAGGCAGCAGAAATTACACGTGCGTGTGCAGTTCAGGGTTCACAGGAGTCAACTGTACATACAGTAAGTTCACATTGGATTCATCTTCATGGCGGAGTGTTTTCCTTGAAAAGAGCTCTGTAATGATCGAGCTTTTCTTACACAATGCAAGCTTGATTGAATGACAGAATTCTTGTCATTTTAATTTCGTCATTATAGGAAACTCCACTTTTGGATGTTTGAGCAATCCTTGCCTGAATGGCGGATCCTGTTTGAGGGGCGTCAACAACTCCTACAGATGCTTCTGTCGCTCTGGATACACAGGCTTCAACTGTGCCACGAGTAAGTATCGCTGATACATGCATGGTGTCTGTTTAAAGAGTAAATACATTTTCTAATACATGGCCATTGTAGGACAAAAGAAAGTGAGTGAGTTATGTTTTGCGCCGTTTTAGCAATATCAGGGCTTGGGAACACCTGAAATGGGCTTCTGAATAAGGACTATAGAAACATTAAGTTCTCATCTTGGGATATACCTCTCTGGTAATTAGTATTTTGTCAATATTATTTATGATTGTATTGAAATTGTGGCTTAGGATTTAACATTGTCCGTTGAATATTCCTGAACGTGTATTATATTTTGTTTCTCAATCCTACTTGTACTTCCTACTTAACATTTTGTTCACGAAAGCATTAGTCAAGAAAGACTGTTATTTCTCCATATGTAACTACATCGAGGACGTTTCTATTTCAGGGAACACAAGCAATCCGTGTGGAAACAGCACCTGTCTGAATGGTGGACGTTGTGTCAGAGTAGGCAGCAGAAATTACACGTGCGTGTGCAGTTCAGGGTTCACGGGAGTCAACTGTACATACAGTAAGTTCATCTTTGCTTCATCTTAATGGCGGAGTGTTTTCCTTGACATGAGCCCTGTAATGTTCGAACGTTTCATAATCCTACAAGCTCGATGTAAATTGTATATTAAAATCCTTGTCATTTTAATTTCGTCATTGCAGGAAACTCCACTTTTGGATGTTTGAGCAATCCTTGCTTGAATGGTGGATCCTGTTTGAGGGGCGTCAACAACTCCTACAGATGCTTCTGTCGCTCTGAATACACAGGCTTTAACTGTGCCACGAGTAAGTATCACTGATACATATAATTACCGTGTAAAATTATATAACCCTGTATATTGACTGGTCTTCCATGCCTTGATGTACTTGTATAGTACCCTGTAAAATTATGCATCACTGTCCATGGACTGTTATATCCTCCATGCCTTGAAACACTTGTATAAGTACGTTGTAAAATCTATTGTAGCTCCCTGTATGGACTGTTATACCTTCCATGCATTGATGTACTTTTATAAGTACCTTGTAAAATCTTGTATCACTGGATACCGTCTTGGTATATCTTCCATGCCCTAAATCTCCCCCTTACAGTACTTGTATAAGTGCTCTGTAATGTATCACTGTATATAGACCATGTTGTACACAGGGCTGATGGCCCACACCACTGTACCGAAAAAAAGAAAGAACATACATAGTATCAATTTAACGAGTAAATGGATTTTCTAATATTTCGCCATTGGAGGACAAAAGAAAGTGAGTGAGTTATGTTTTGCGCCGTTTTTAGCTATGTCACGGCTTGGGAACACCTGAAATGGGCTTCTGAATAAGTACTATAGAAACATTAAGTTCTCGTCTTGGGATATACCTCTCTGATAATTAGTATTATGTCAATGGTATTTATAATTGTATTGAAATTGTGGCTTCGGATTAAACATTGTTGCATATTCCTGAACGTGTATTATATTTTGTTTCTCAATCCTACTTGTACTTCCTACTTAACATTTTGTTCACGAAAGCATTAGTCAAGAAAGACTGTTTTTTTCTCCATATAACTTTATCGAGGACGTTTGTATTTCAGGGAACACAAGCAACCCCTGTGGAAACAGCACCTGCCTGAATGGTGGACGTTGTGTCAGAGTAGGCAACAGAAATTACACGTGCGTGTGCAGTTCAGGGTTCACGGGAGTCAACTGTACATACAGTAAGTTCACGTTTGTTCCATCTTCATGGCGGAGTGTTTTCCTTGTGATGAGCCCTGTAATGTTCATAATCCTACAAGCTCGATATAAATTGTATATTAATATCCTTGTCATTTTAATTTCGTCATTGCAGGAAACTCCACTTTCGGATGTTTGAGCAATCCTTGCCTGAATGGCGCATCCTGTTTGAGGGGCGTCAACAACTCCTACAGATGCTTGTGTCGCTTTGGATACACAGGCTTCAACTGTTCCACGAGTAAGTATCACTGATACATGTATGGTATCATTTTATAGTGTAAATGCATGTTTATTACTTCGCCATTCGAGGACAAAGCAGTGAGTTACGTTTTGTGCCGTTTGTAGCAATATCACGGCTTTGGACACCTGCAATGAGCTTCTGAATAAACAATACAGAAACTTCAAGTGATTGTCTTTGGAAGTACCTCTCTGGTTGTTAGTATAATAAAACACCGTATTTATAATTGTATGGAAATTGTGGTTTAGGATGACGTATTACCTGTTTTTGTATTTTTTCTGAACCTATGTTTTATCTTGGTCTTCAACTATAAGAGTAGTATTCCTATCGATACATGCATATAGACAAATGAATTAAAATAGTTAATATACATCGAAGGCAGAAATATAGCAGTAATAACTACATTTGTATATAAAGTGCCAATACCCTCTCGCCTTCTTGCTGGGATGACGATGCTTACACCTCCCCGTAGAGAATTCATTTCCGTATCAACTAATGTTATTACTATCCAAATGTCATTGTCAGAGTTAAGGGTGCAAAGGTACCTTCTCTATCAATAGTTCCTTTTTTAGTTCTCCTTAGATACCTTTATTCAAGAGACATCGTTTTAAGAAATGAGTTCGTAATCATATTTTGTGCTGAAAACAAATATCCATAACATCTGTGCTTTTTTATCATTGTCTTACTAAAAAGTGTTTTTCATTCATATCTTCCATGTACGATACACAAGACTACTTTTCTTGTCCAGGGAACACAAGCAACGCTTGTGGAACCAACCCCTGCCTCTATGGTGGAACTTGCATTGACAGAGGCAATGGAGCCTACAGATGTGTTTGTTCTCTAGGATTCTCTGGAGTGAACTGTGGCAATAGTAAGTTATCATAAGCCTACTTAATTTTGGTAGTGTGATTTAACCCTACTATTCATTGATCTACAGTGTCATTTGCGTCCCATAGACGTACCAGGATCCGCTGTCCCTGTTAAGACTGTCAACATCCACCTGTTCGCGATCGTATATTTTGTTTTATCCATACTCTAATGTTGCTCAGGTTACAACGCGTAACAATGATAGAAAAAGACAACTTCCTGCAAACAAGATCAATATGTTTACGTTCTTATTATTTGTTTCCCCTTATTTATTTGAACAATACGTTCCCGACTTATTTCAGGTGAACAATTGACTAGACTTTGCATATGTTTATGACGGGTGCCACCGGTGGGGCAGGATATGCTCACGTTTTCGCTAACACCTGGTATCATCACTACTTCATAAACACATGCTCAGTCATCGTACCGCATGGTGAGAATCACTGGATTGTCTGGTCTAGAATAGATAGTTTACAAACAGCATACAGCTGTAATACTGCTGAAACAAATACATACCCGTGCTATAGTTCAAACTGTACAATCGACTCTACCTTTAGCAGAGATTTCTTATTGATGTGGAAAGGGTTTAGTCGCTTCTATTATATATAATGTGTCAAAGATTCCTGCTGTTTCACCGTGCTTAGTCCTCTCCTGCACACATGTCTTCTGTCTTACAGCTGGGGGAACATCTACGGTCAATGCCACAACAGTCCGCGTCAGTGAGGACGCACCAATAGGTACTGAATCTTTTTGAAAGAAGGTTTAAAGTTACATAAAAGGAATTTTGACGTTAGAATGCGTAAAATTCAACATAACCACTACCCCTAAAGTTCCCGGTTAGAATTGGTCTTCAGTAACCCATGCTTGTCGTAAAAGGCCTCTAATGGGAATCAGGTGTCAGGCTCGGTGACTTGACTGGCACATGTCATTGTATCCCAATTGCGTAGATCGATGCTTATGCTGTTGAACACTGGATTGTCTGGTCCAGACTCGATTATTCATTGAGTGCCGTCATATAGCTGGAATATTGCTGAGTGTGGCGTTATATAACAACAAACGAAACTCAACACAATCATAGTTTCGTGCAGTTAGGCATGTTTCCAGAAATGCTGATAACATGACTGAGTGGGTTAAAATATTAATGTCACATCGGCAATATTTCAGCCATATCAGCCTGA